AGGGAACTGCCAGCCTGGTCTCAGCCCTGGGCTTTATAAGGGCCAGGCCCTGCCTCCTACAGGCAGCTGGCTCTCCTTAGTTGCCCCGGCAACCTGCAGCTGTGCCCGTTACCCTGACAACCCTCATCTGGGCTCGTTATGTCCTGCCAGGGCTCTCTCTCCCTGGCAGTTTCTACTCCCTAGGAGCAGGCACTGAGGTGCTCTGCGACAGACTCATACCACTAATCATCCTTGTTGCCATTCTCTGTACCTTCTCTATTTCTTTTATATCCTTTTTGAGGTGTAGGGACCAGAAATGGGCACAATATTCAAGGTATGGATGCACCATGGATTTATAAACAGGGCATAATGACACTTTCTATTTTGGTCACAATTCCCTTAAGAATATAATATCTAACATTTTGTTTGCCCTTTTGATGGCTGTTAAGCCCTAAGCTGAAGTTTTTAGTGAGCTGTCCACAATGACTCCCAGATCTCTCTCCTGTGTGGTAACAGCTAATGTTGAGCCCATCATAGTGTAGGTAGAGTTTGGGCTATTTTTACGCATGCACATCACTTTACATTTATCTACATTTAATTTAATCTGCCATTTAGTTGCCCATTCACTGAATAGTGTCAAATCCTTCTGTAGTTCCTCAGTCCACCTTCGTCTTGACCATGTGAAATAATTGTGTCATCTGCAAACTTAGCTACGTTACTACTCATTCCCTTTTCCAGATCCTTCATCCTCATACGTTAAACAGTACTAGTCCTAACACAGATCGCTGTGGACCTCTACTGTTTACTTCTTTTCTCTCTCTAAACCAATTTAGTTAATTTCATAAAATAAAGTAACGCTTGGTGTAGGAATTTTAAGTAAAAAATGCCTGTGCCTGCATAGGGAGTGGAGGGGAAATAACACTAGCTCTGGAGATGCACATATTCCATTAAAGTTTAAACATGCCACATAAATCCAGTAAACTGAAGAAAACTGCAGCAATATGCATATAATAATGGCTGCAGCTTCACTAATCATGTTTCCTGAAGACAAGGAACCTCAAGGCAAAAGCCGGGACGTTAACTACCTTAGGGTAGGTGTGCAGACACCAACAGCTGTCCCAGGAACAAGTTACACTGGACTGAATTTCCCAGGTTAGGGCAATTTCTTTCTATTTAAGGGATTTCATCACAGAGTCAGAATGTTTCCCCTTCAGGGTAGCTGGAGTTTCTTCTGGGATAACATGTTCATATGTCCATGATCCATATTTTGCACTAAGCAAAGGACTGGATAAATTCAGCTTGGACAAAATGTTTGAGAAATATTTAAACAAATGCATTAAACTATACAATTTTTTTTTTTAAATAAAGAAAGAGAGACTACATGGATCATTAAAGACCAGAAAACTATCTTACCTCCTCACTTTTAGCTTCTCCATTTTCTGCAGGCAAGTTGTCCTTTGTCTGTTCTTGGTTAGTCTCCTCAGTCTGTTTTCCTTTTGGTCCTTTTTTTCCCTTTGATTGAATTTTCTTGTCCTCAGATTTATTCTATAGTAAAAAGCATTTAAGAAAGATTGCATTAATTTAGTTATTAGGTAAACTAAAAAGAAGCAAAATGAAGTTGTCATATAACAAATTTGGGATTACATGCTCAGTTAACAATAAAAGGAAGAAAAGCATCTCTACTTTAGAAAAAAAATTCTCTCTACTCCAGAAAGTTAGGAAAATAAGACAGAATAGCCAGGTGGGGATCAGGTCCCAGAACAGCTATAAAAGGCTACATCTCACAGAAGGCATTATACACACACACACACACGTATGTTTTTATATATATATATATATATAGCTTAATCCATCTCTTTGTTTGTCCGTAACGTTCCTTGGAGCACTCTGTTTGGCTGTTTTGGCATCCAATTGCAATGTTTATGTAGCCGTCTTACCGTTTTGGAGTTTGGGTTGAGTCCCAGGATCGAGGGTCTGCTGTTTGATTGGTGGAGCTTGCCCACCAATCCGGAGGCAGCACAAGGGACGCAATGCCCTGCCCTTTTCCGAAGGGAGGGGGCAAGGAGCAGCTGGACCTGAATCGGAACCGCACCAGTCAGGTCCGGAGAACTTCGGGGCTGGAGCCCCTGAAGAGTATAAAAAGGGAGCACGCTCAAGAGGCTGGGGAGAGATGATGAGCGACGGCAAGGAGGAGCTCCAGAGACGGCCATCCGACGGGACCCTGCTTGAGCGCTTCAGCGGTGCTCAAATCGGCACATGTTTGAGGCAGCTTTAACCTGTGAACCCAGCAAGTAGCCGGGCAGTTGGTGTGCAGATCGGCACATGGAGAGCTGGCCCTGGGAACAGCTCGCGGCCACTTCAGCTCACCTCACGCGCAGGTTGATGCATGGAAAACCACTTTGGAAGCAGCTCGCAGCTGCTCACATTAGCCCCAGCCCGAGTGACCAGAGCCCCACAGTGTGGCTCCACTTGTAACTAAAAGAGCCCCAGTGCCCAGAGCATGGCCTGGGAAAGGGAAGAACCCCCAGTGTGAGACTGGGGAGTTGGAGCCTGCAAGGGCTTGGCTCCCACGAGAGAGAGCGAGCCCTGGGTGCCCAGTGCAGGGCACCAGGCTGTTGAGGAGAGCTGAAGGCGCCGTTGGGGAGAGGCTCTTATGAGATTGGCCACCAGGGGGCGAGCCCTGACTTCTCCAGAGAGGG